AAAAAAACCAAAAAACTTTGAGTTACTTCAACTTAACTAATTTAATTAATTGATTAAACGTGCCAAACCCAAGTTCCCTTGCAGAAGATAAAACAAACTGCTGGGAGGATCATTCACTCAAATTGTATTCAGAAGACAGTAAAAAGCAGCTGACCTAATCTCCTTTCATCATCTGTCTCCTTATTAGCCCAGCACCTCCAGATTCGAAGGCAGTTAGAAGACTTGCTCAAATCAGCTGCACCTTTGACATGCAGCTGAAAGGCCACCCACTCCCACCTTTGACACAGAGGTATTGCCGGTGTGAGAGGAAACCTCCAGAGCTGCTGGAAGTCTCTCCCAACTGGAGCCCACAGAGATTCTTCCTGTCTGAGAGATAATGAGCTATACACCTTCACTCTGGAGAGTTAGGGGAAAGAAGAACAACAACAACAAAAGAGGCAGATGGCCAGAAAGGAAGTTCTCAGAGATGTATTCATCTACAGCATTGGGCAATCTGTTGGAGGTTAAACTTAATAAAGGATCTTCGTGGTTGTGTCAACCCTCACTGCAACACCAAGGGTGCTTCTCCCCTCTCCCCAACATCACCCCCTTACCTTTTACAAGGGCGTTAACCCCATTTCTAAACTAATAATAATTCTCTTCTGTGCTGCAAATATTCAACCACTGTGAAATACTATGTATGACATAAACACAGTCAAGAATGTCGGTTGCCATGAGATTCACATTTCCATTAGCATTAACTAGCAGGCCCTTCCCTAAACAAAAACAAAACAAAATGCTTTCTTGGTCAGCTCTGAGCCTGGAGAGCAATTTTAACCCACATGCTTCAAGGGGCCTCTCAAGGTCCAGATGTAACACAAGAACATCATTAATTTTCACTAAATTAAATTTCTCAAAAGGCCACTATCAATTTGGGGGCAATACGGGAGAAGAAAGTGCATATTCTTTATTCTGTAACCTTTCTATAATCTGGATAAGCTGGCAGCAGTGCCCTGAAACTCACTCGGCATGAGTTACGAGGGTATGTAATGGAAACAGGGCCCAGGCACCTCTCAATCATTTCAGCCCTCTCTATGCCCAGTATTTGTGACTCAGTGCCTTCCAGCGCTGTGGGGTTAAACCATACTTCCTCCTCCCTGTCCCTAGGTAGTACAATTCCTTAAAATAACAGCCAAGGTTCCCACAATTTATCGCCTTGTATCTTTCCAGCCTTCATTACCCCGGACTCCAACTACATAGTTCACTCCCCACCATTCATCTTTTAAGAGACACATCATTTTCATTCTTCAAGTCCCTTTTGTGAAGTCTTCCCCAGAGACAGAATTTAATTTTCCATTCCCTGGCATGCCAAGTTTCTTGGATTCTACAGCTGCCACCTAGTTATTCAACCCAGCTGCTATATATTGAAGTTAGCTGCATCTTTTACCTCTGTACTGCAGCTCCTTCTAGAGCCTCCTTTTTCTCATCCTTGTATCCGCCACTGTCGAAGGAATTCAGTAACTGCTTCTCCAATTAAAATTTCCTCCTTTCCTCCCAACTTTCTAAGGCATCCATAATAGCTCTCCATGAGATAGCTAAATAACACTACAGGGATTTGGAACATAGCGTGGTATGTAAACATTAGAAACCAAATAAGATGCTGAGTTAGCAAGGCCAGAGCAAGCTTTCAAACTTTAAACCAAGTTTTATTACATCACACTTCACTTTTAAAATACACCATGTTCCTCAAGTGTGTATGCATATAGGTACCAAAAAAAATAATAATAATAAAGAAAAGGGAGACAGGCCACACATCAAGCACAGATATTAAAATCATGACCTCAAACTAAATTTCAGGTCTTGTTATTTGGACACATTGAGCGTCCCAGTGAAAATGATACAGTATATTCCACGAGGTTGCAACTTTCCTTACTAAGCATTTGAAGTAAGATTCTCCTGCCTAAAAATCATGAACTTCAGACTGACTGTCACTATGTATCAAAAAGACTTAGCAAGTGAGAGTTTTACTTGCTTTGAATTTTCCAGTAGGTCTAACAGTCAGAACAGATTCAGCAAAACCTTGAGAAGTCTGTGGTAGAATCTTCTTTTAAATTCAATTACTTTTCGGAAAAGATTAGCTTCAAATAAAAACAGACGTTTCAAACTCAGGTGTTGAAAGGGCTGCCACTTACATTCCCATGTCTGGTAACTTTTCCCATCACTCGCAGAGATTTCCGAGATACACTGAGTGCCCTCAGCACTGAGCTGCAGCTCATCTCTTGAGAGACAACGATGCAGATGGGAAGTTGGCCAGGTCAGACTACAGACTCCAAGTCAATTTTAAGGTTAAGTAGCTCACCCACTTTAAATAATATGGGTAATGGAAGACTGACTGGGGTGAGGTAGGGTGGTATTATTGATGTCCTTGTGCAGGAGGAAAGAAAAAACAGGGGAGAACCGACTCCCAGCTCCAGGTTCTTCCCCCTCCAGGCATCTCCCACTGCTGCTTTTCCTCAACCCTCTTGGCCTTCCTGCCCTCCCCCTTACCTCCCAGACTAACAGTTGACACTTCCCTCTACTCTCTCCCTACTGTTCTAACATGGGATAACCACCCTCCAGTTTGTAGTTATGGGGGGGAGCTGGAAGGAACAGCAGAGATGATCAAACCCCTCCATTTTCCAGATGAGGACACCAAGAAGGAGGACCAGCTGACCTAACCGGCTAAAGTCACACCGCTAGGGGACGTGGTGTGTCTGTGGGATCAGATTATGATAACCCAGTCCTCCTGCCTGGCCCCTCAGCCCGGCCTTCCCGCCACACACTACCTCTTTCTCTGGCTACTTGGCTTCTTTATCCTCAAATTAAATGGTATCAAGAAAAATGCAGCCTTAATAATGCTGATCGTTATTCACAATTTTGCTTTTGGGGCAAATATGCTCCAGCCTTCCCAAAATTGGAGAATCAAGGGCAGAAACAAATGGATGACATTATGCATGTGTGTGTTAATGCAATTTAATTCGGTCCAAATAGCTATAATTTCAGTACACACCCTTTTTCCTTGGGGCTTACTACTCTTATTTGACAAGGGAATAGTTTCTTAGGAAAATGAACTTAGTTTTAAACCAGCACGGTCTCCCTCTTACCCGAATTGCAAGCTTTGAATAACAGACCTCCGGCTTCACAGTTATGTTTAGGCTGGGCAAACGACACTTAATGCAAATAGGTGAAAATCACGGACTGTTACAGCCCGAAGGAATAGAGGATTTTGCTCTCATAACTGCAGTCACCTGTTTTCAAGATTCATGTTTGTAAATATGTATCTATTCCAATGGGAAACAACGCGTTCATAGTGAAACTTTAACAAGCCAGCGCTCACTGGAAACCCACATTTAGGAAACCTCCATAGATTTCAACAACAAAAAAAAGAGGTAGCAGCAGAAAGCAGCAATCTCAGGCCCCAGACTGAAGGCAGCAACAAGTCCTGGACACCGTCATTCTTACACATCAAAGTCCAAGTGGCAGCAAAGAAAAACAAGAATAAATGGTAAATCCGTTCACAACAAACTAGTCCTGCGCACACGCGCGCGCGCACACACACACAACGAGCCCGTCTATTTCAAAACCACCAACTCAAAGCCAGGTCCCTCCCTTGCCTTAGATTCCCCAGTTACTTGATAAACGTGTTTGTTAGACGTCCGGACAGAAACTTAAGTTTAAAGTCCTCAGGCGGGGAGAGACCGCTGCGTGGCCGGTGAGAAGCAAGTGGTGGGGAAGCTCGGCGCTGCAGGTCGCGGGGACCCCCGGCGGTCCACGTCCACCGGGACGCGGCTTGGGGGTAATGTCGAGCGCCTCCCGCCTGCCAGCTCGGGCCCCCACCCAGACCCAGGTAACCGGAGACCACCTACGTGTCACTTGGGCGGGTCCCGGCCGCTGGCACGGGGCACAGCGTGGGCCCCGGGGAGCGCTGACCCGGTTGGGAGACGGGAGGGCCGGCGGCCCGGGCGGCTGCGGCCACTTCCCTCCCGGGGCTCGATCAACTGGTTGGCTGGGGAGGCCAGGAGCGCCTCGCCTCCTGCAGGTCGGCCCGCGAGCATGCACACCCACCCACACCCGGCACAGGCGCGCGCGTACACACACACAGACAGACACACACACACACACACACACACACACACAGCCACAAAGCCCGTCTGCCGCAGGACAGCGCGATCCCAGAGCGCCGTTTGGCGGCGGAAGGGACCCGGCGAAAGCTGGCTCCGCGCTCAGAGGGCACCGTCCCCTCGCGCCACCCCGCGCCGCGCCAGTCCCTTTACCTGCGCCCGTCGCCGCCGCGCGTCCGGCTCCCGCCGCCCCCGGGCTGGCTTCAGGCTGCGCGGTCAATCCCCGCAGCCCCCGCCCCGCGGCCCGCCGAGCCCCGCCCCCCGCCCCCGCCCGCCCCTCGGCCGTCGCCCGGAGCTGGGCCGCCCCCTGCGCCCACCCCGCCGGGGTCCCGCGCGCGCGGCCGGGAGGCCGGGGAGGGCTCGGCGGAGCCGGGGCCCAGGCCGCCCGAGATCCCGGCAGGCTCCGCTGGAGGACAGGGGCGTCGCGGCTCCGGGAGCGTCAGCCGCCGCTCGGCCCCGACTGCTCCGGCTTTGGCGCGCTGGCAGGGCGGCGGGGGAGGGGGGCGCCGAGGGAGGGCCGCGGGAGCAGGGCGGACGCCTGCCCCCTTCTTCCTCCGCCTTCTTTCTTTTCTGCAGGCTCCACGTAGCACAACTCAGCAACTTCCACACCCCCCGACTCCCTCCCCCTGGCTCATTCCCTTACCTGGCGCGACGCCCCCAGAGCCCCTACCCTCTGTGCTCCTCCTCCCCCATCCCGTTGCCGGACTCCCCGCCCCCCCCTGCAGGGGCGGGGGCGGAGGGTAGCCCAAGCCTCCCATTCATCATCTTCCCACCGCCCCCCACCCGGATCGGACCCACCCGCGTCTGGAGACACACGGCCTCCAGCTCCGGATCCCCATCCCCACCCGCTCCCGCGCTCACCTCTGCGACCGACAAGTTGCGGGACTGGGGCGGCCTCTCCTACACGTTGCATTTTCATTTTGTCGCTCTTCTCTCCCCACTTGAAAAGCTCTGGAAGACATCGCAGGGCCCGCAAAATCCCCGATGTCTGGCCTCTCTCGTAGTTCCGTTTCCAAACTTTCCCGGAGGCAGAGTTTCTCCCAGTGCAGCATTCAAGTCGAGGCTGCAAAGAACGCAGAGTCAGTTTTGCTGCCGGAAAGGTGCACACGTTTCCATTTCTGAGTTTTCGATTGCCTGGGTCTGCAGACCAAAGCAAGTGTGACTGTGCTCCCCTAGTTCTCCATATCCATGATTATAAATTTCTCTTCCGCTTTCCCAGTGTAACTTTGCAAGTGCAAACTATCAATTTTAGAAGAATAATTAAGGGCGGGGAATACACACCTGGAGGTGTGGGCGGGACCGGCGCAGGACTAAGGCCTGGGGATGGTTCTCGGGAAAGTGGCGGGCACAGAGATTCGCCCAGGTTCTGAAACAACACCCGGTCCACCGGGGGCTCTCCAGCCGCGCCACCCCCTACCCACCTCCCACCCTTGGCTTCCTGGAGTGTTGGCAATTCTCTGCCTCTAGCTCCACTGCTAAAGCCGCGACACAACAAAAGTAGCAGCTTACAAGTAAAAACTGGGCAAACTCTAGCCTGAAACGGCACGTGGGGTCTACGACAGCAGTATGTCAGGGAACTTGGCAGGACTGATACAAGTACATAGAAGAAAGAAACGCAGAACCAGGAGGGAGGGCTGCGTTGGTGGCGGTCACTCGGTAACCTTGGGCTTCGCAGAAATGAGAAGAAACCGCACAGGGCGGGGAGGGGAAGAATTCTTGGTGGGGATGGAAACGTCTCAAACTTCCAGTGAGGTCTGCTTCGCAGAGAACGTGACCGTCGCCCGCAAGTGACTGCTTCGAACCTTGATTGAGTTCGTCTTGCGGTTTTCACAGGACGCTCAAAGCTAAACCCTGACTGCTCACCCATTACTCTCAAGCTGTTTCCTTTTTCAAGCAATGTAGCAAATCCCCTTTGTTAAAAAATCAGCCTTAAAGAACTCTGCTTCCTCTCCTTTCCTACCAATTTATCATTTATTTTATAATAATCCATTAAAATGCGAAAAAATAGAAATTTTAATACATGCACGGTGCTAATATGTTCATTTACAGCATGCAGAAATGCATATAAAAACTCTCTTATCGCAAAAATAATGAGAGCTGATCTTAAACTCTAAAAAAAGATACCAGGACAAATAGGAAAATGTCCACTATATAATCTAAATATAATAAAAAGCATATATTGGTAAGAAAAGAAAGACTATACTGAAAGGGACTTCTGTTTTGCACCATAGCTCTACCCACCTCAGAAAAATCACTTAGCTCATTTTCCTGTCTTCTTTCTACTACATGCTCTTTGTATTTACTGTTGGGTTTCTCAATACCAAAACTTCTATATCTAGTAAAAAGAATATTTTAAAATTTTATTTAAAATAATTAAATTATTATATTAACTATAGCAAAAAATAGTATCAAATAATTAATTTACAAATTAATTATTTCAATCTTTCACCCTTCCTCAAAAATCAAAGATAAAGTGCAAATGAGTTTCTTGCCTACCACTCAGCTTGAATGTTTTCCCAGGATATTGATTTTACCTCTTACCATATTAAGGAATATGGTTGCTTCTGCTTTGACTATATATTAACTGCCTTAACTACTCTGTGGTCCATTCTCACATCAAATGAGGAGTTCTGTCCACACAAGACATGTATTCAAGAGTTCCAAGTTATTTGCTTTAAAAAACTTTCTTTCCTCTTTATCTGGCCTACCATGGCCTAGAATGAATTGGAGAGCAAAGTACAAGGTCAGCCTGGACAGACCTGTCTCCCTGACACATGCGGACCTGTCTGAATGAGACTGCTCTTCACCCAGTTTTAGTTTAATAACTTTAAAATCAACTGTAGGTTGTATGCCCAGTGTAAAAGGAGAGAGAAAATGAAATCCAATACAGAATCCAGTTCAGCACAGAGATTAATCCATCAAAACTAGTATTGTGTTCCAAACGAGCCAGTTTTCTCACCTGTAAAATGGGATAATAATACTAATAAAGTCTATTTTATCAGGTTCCAGGTTGCCTTTAACAAAGTAAGATAATATATTTGAGCAGGCTTCTTCAAACCCAACAGTAGGTGATGTTATTTCAATAGAGATGCAGAAAGATACCTTGATATACTTTCTTTAATGTTTTTATCTGTCTGTGGCCCCCTTGCCAATCAAACTGATTCCATTTCTTGGATAGTCATCTTAATGCGTTTTGTCCTAACCTTTCTCTCTTATCCTCTGCCAAGCAATGTTTCTCTAGATCTGTTTCTTCAAATGACTTCACCAGAGCCAGAGGCCCAAAGATAGCTGGTGCTGTCAAACATGAGAAAAAATATTTTCAGCAAAATGAAGAGAATTTGAATGAGGAGTATTTCAAGTACAGTTTACATTAATATCTTGATAACTGTAGACTTTGTCAGATTATTGCTGTTATCTAGTGGTCCAAGGACTATAATCTGCAAAGCATTTAGTATTGAAACACTGGCTGTCACTACTTTTGGCTCTGTTATTTGTTCAGAAGGGTTTGCTGGTCATGCCAGTTCCCTCTGCCTTCCCACATTCCCTTCCGTCTGGCAAAAAGCCTTTGAAATTTTCTACTAGAGAGTAATCAAACCTATCAGCAAAAAGATCTGTTGGAAACTTTCCCTCCAGTCTGTTAATGTAGAGACTGATGCAGAGAATGTATTCCGGTGAAACAATACCCTGAGAGAATTCAGCCTGCTTGGGAAAATTTTTCAGGTGCCTCTCAGGCAGAGGTTTCTTCCTTGTTAAAATGGGGTATTTATGCCTCGCTGCTGTTTTTCCCCTTGACTAGAAAGAAATCATTCTCCTTAAGAAACGTTTCTATTTTAAAAGGCCAGTGGCAGAGGTGGGTGAGGTCAGCCCAATGTAGTAAAACTAAAATAGCATAAAATAAAATAACACTCTTCAGGGTAGAAGTGACATAAAGAGACTCTAGGAACAGAGAGTAGAAGACGGGATTGTGTGTGCAGCAGCCCTGTATAAGGACCAGACTACAATGAAATGAAAGCCCTAAATACACTGACTATTTGGTCACCTTTTTCTTATCACCTATTTCTGCATGAATAATCTGGGTAGTGTCTGAAGTAGATCAAGGGTGAGCAAATCCTTTTCCTGTAGTTTCCCTCACCCAAATAAAAAGCCTTTGATCTAAAACAGAAGGGGAGGGGGGAAGAAAATGAAGAAAAAAACATATATGTGTGTTATATGTCTAATTTTAGAGCTAAAAATAGACCTAAATATCCAAAAACTCATAGAAAGGGTCACAAAACAAAAAGTTCTATAAAACAATAATAAAATTGGTAAATTTCCAATAAGACTGATAGTGAGGAAAGAGAGAAAAGAAACAAGAATATGAATGAAATTATAATTATAGTTTTGAGACTTTTTTTCTAATACTAACAGAATGTTGTGAACATTTTTTAAACTTAGCTGAAATAGATACTTTTTAATAAGATGCAAATTACAAAACTTTATTGAGTCAAACAAATTAAAAACATGAATATATTTGTAACTATTGAATAAATTGAATTCATATTTCTAAATATACCTACAAAAAGGGTCAAAAATTTGGTGGCAAAGATTTACCGAATCTTCATAGGTAATCTCTATTCAAATGATTTCAGAGAAAAAGAAGGAAAGCACCCCAATTATTTTATGAGCTAATAAAATCTTGATGCCAAGATCAGACAATAGAATAGAAAGGAAGGGCTTCCCTGGTGGCGCAGTGGTTGAGAGTCCGCCTGCCGATGCAGGGGACACGGGTTCGTGTCCAGGTCCGGGAAGATCTCACATGCCGCTGAGCGGCTGGGCCTGTGAGCCATGGCCGCTGCGCCTGCGCGTCCAGAGCCTGTGCTCCGCAACGGGAGAGGCCACAACAGTGAGAGGCCCGCGTACCGCAAAAAAACCAAAACAAACAAACAAAAAATAAATAGGAAAATTATAGGCCAATCTCAAAAGGAATAAAAAATTTTATTCTTACATATAATCAAACCAAGTTCAGCAATGTGTTTTTAAAAAATACATCACAAGGGCTTCCCTGGTGGCGCAGTGGTTGAGAATCTGCCTGCTAATGCAGGGGACACGGGTTCGAGCCCTGGTCTGGGAGGATCCCACATGCCGCGGAGCAGCTAGGCCCGTGAGCCACAACTACTGAGCCTGCGCGTCTGGAGCTTGTGCTCCACAGCAAGAGAGGCCGCGATAGTGAGAGGCCCGAGCACCGCGATGAAGAGTGGCCCCCGATTGCCACAACTAGAGAAAGCCCTCGCACAGAAACGAAGACCGAACACAGCAAAAATAAATTAATTAAAAAAAAAAAAAAAACATCACAAGCACATCAGGCTGATACCATAATGTAAGAATGGCTTCATATTAGAAAATGTAAAGAAATTTGCCACTCATTTTTCTTAATCTTAACAAACTAGAAAAGGGAGGAATTTCCTGAACATGATAGAGTTGCTACCAACAACCTAATTCTAGAAGCATTATTCTTAATGTCAATTCATTAAACATTTTCCTTTTAAAGTAAGAAAGAAAACGAGGATCACTTTACCATTTCTATTCCACATTGTAATAAAGCACCTTGCCAAGATAATAACACATACACACGCACACACACACAGAAATTAGAAGATATAAGGTGTGGAAAAGAAGAAAAAAGTGATTTGTAGATGATCTAATTGTCTTCTGAGAAAATTCAGGCAAATCTAATAAAATATTAGAACAAAGAAGAGAGTTTAGCAACATTGTTGAATAAAAGATCAATGTACAATGAAGCCACAGCCCATTAGAAATAATAAATGTTTGAAGGTCTCACTTATGTAGCAACAAATTTTTATTATAACTTGAGTAAAAATTAAAAGAAAGGTATAGTATCTGTATTTACTATATGTAGAAAATTATAAAAATTTATTGAAGTACACGAAGAGGCCTCAATAAATAGATAATATCATGTTCATGGA